ACACACATTGTACATCCCATAGCACACACACATTGTACATCCCATAGCACACACACATTGTACATCCCATAGCACACACATTGTACATCCCATAGCACACACACATTGTACATCCCATAGCACACACATTGTACATCCCATAGCACACACATTGTACATCCCATAGCACACACACATTGTACATCCCATAGCACACACACATTGTACATCCCATAGCACACACATTGTACATCCCATAGCACACATTGTACATCCCATAGCACACATTGTACATCCCATAGCACACACACATTGTACATCCCATAGCACACACACATTGTACATCCCATAGCACACATTGTACATCCCATAGCACACACACATTGTACATCCCATAGCACACACACATTGTACATCCCATAGCACACACACATTGTACATCCCATAGCACACACACATTGTACATCCCATAGCACACACATTGTACATCCCATAGCACACACACATTGTACATCCCATAGCACACACACATTGTACATCCCATAGCACACATTGTACATCCCATAGCACACACATTGTACATCCCATAGCACACACTTGTACATCCCATAGCACACACACATTGTACATCCCATAGCACACATTGTACATCCCATAGCACACACATTGTACATCCCATAGCACACACACATTGTACATCCCATAGCACACACATTGTACATCCCATAGCACACACACATTGTACATCCCATAGCCACACACTTGTACATCCCATAGCACACACATTGTACATCCCATAGCACACACACATTGTACATCCCATAGCACACACATTGTACATCCCATAGCACACACATTGTACATCCATAGCACACACACATTGTACATCCCATAGCACACACAATTGTACATCCCATAGCACACACATTGTACATCCCATAGCACACACATTGTACATCCCATAGCACACACTTGTACATCCCATAGCACACACACATTGTACATCCCATAGCACACACCATTGTACATCCCATAGCACACACACATTGTACATCCCATAGCACACACACATTGTACATCCCATAGCACACACACATTGTACATCCCATAGCACACACATTGTACATCCCATAGCACACACACATTGTACATCCCATAGCACACACACATTGTACATCCCATAGCACACATTGTACATCCCATAGCACACCACATTGTACATCCCATAGCACACATTGTACATCCCATAGCACACACACATTGTACATCCCATAGCACACACACATTGTACATCCCATAGCACACACATTGTACATCCCCATAGCACACACACATTGTACATCCCATAGCACACACACATTGTACATCCCATAGCACACACACATTGTACATCCCATAGCACACACATTGTACATCCCATAGCACACACACATTGTACATCCCATAGCACACACATTGTACATCCCATAGCACACACACATTGTACATCCCATAGCACACACACATTGTACATCCCATAGCACACATTGTACATCCCATAGCACACACACATTGTACATCCCATAGCACACACATTGTACATCCCATAGCACACACACTGTACATCCCATAGCACACACACATTGTACATCCCATAGCACACACACATTGTACATCCCATAGCACACACACATTGTACATCCCATAGCACACACACATTGTACATCCCATAGCACACATTGTACATCCCATAGCACACACACATTGTACATCCCATAGCACACACATTGTACATCCCATAGCACACACACATTGTACATCCCATAGCACACACATTGTACATCCCATAGCACACACACATTGTACATCCCATAGCACACACATTGTACATCCCATAGCACACACATTGTACATCCCATAGCACACACACATTGTACATCCCATAGCACACACATTGTACATCCCATAGCACACACACATTGTACATCCCATAGCACACACATTGTACATCCCATAGCACACACACATTGTACATCCCATAGCACACACACATTGTACATCCCATAGCACACACATTGTACATCCCATAGCACACACATTGTACATCCCATAGCACACACACATTGTACATCCCATAGCACACATTGTACATCCCATAGCACACACATTGTACATCCCATAGCACACACATTGTACATCCCATAGCACACACACATTGTACATCCCATAGCACACACACATTGTACATCCCATAGCACACACACATTGTACATCCCATAGCACACACATTGTACATCCCATAGCACACACACATTGTACATCCCATAGCACACACATTGTACATCCCATAGCACACATTGTACATCCCATAGCACACACACATTGTACATCCCATAGCACACACACATTGTACATCCCATAGCACACACACATTGTACATCCCATAGCACACACATTGTACATCCCATAGCACACACACATTGTACATCCCATAGCACACACATTGTACATCCCATAGCACACACACATTGTACATCCCATAGCACACATTGTACATCCCATAGCACACACATTGTACATCCCATAGCACACACACATTGTACATCCCATAGCACACACATTGTACATCCCATAGCACACACACATTGTACATCCCATAGCACACACACATTGTACATCCCATAGCACACACACATTGTACATCCCATAGCACACACATTGTACATCCCATAGCACACACACATTGTACATCCCATAGCACACACATTGTACATCCCATAGCACACACATTGTACATCCCATAGCACACACACATTGTACATCCCATAGCACACATTGTACATCCCATAGGCCACAGTGGATCCCCAGTAGGCCACAACGGATCCCCCATAGGCCACAACGGATCCCCCATAGGCCACAAGGTCTCTCCCATAGGATATAACGGATCCCCCATAGCACACACTGTACGCCCCATAGGCCACAAGGTCTCTCCCATAGGATATAATGGGTCCCCATAGCACACACTGTACACCCCACAGACCACAATGGATCCCCCATAGACCACAATGGATCCCCCATAGACCACAGCGGATCCCCATAGACCACAGCGGATCCCCATAGACCACAGCGGATCCCCACAGACCACAAGGGATCCCCACAGACCACAAGGGATCCCCCATAGACCACAGCGGATCCCCATAGACCACAGCGGATCCCCATAGACCACAGTGGATCCCCATAGACCACAACGGATCCCCCATAGGATACACTGTACACCCCATAGGATATAATGGATCCTCATAGCACACACTGTACACTCCATAGACCACAGTGGATCCCCCATAGGATATAATGGATCTCCCATAGGATACATTGGATCCCCCATAGCACACACTGTACGCCCCATAGGATACATTGGATCCCCCATAGCACACACTGTACGCCCCATAGGATACATTGGATCCCCCATAGCACACACTGTACGCCCCATAGGATACATTGGATCCCCCATAGCACACACTGTACGCCCCATAGGATACATTGGATCCCCATAGCACACACTGTACACCCCATAGGATATAATGGATCCTCATAGCACACACTGTACACCCCATAGGATATAATGGATCCTCATAGCACACACTGTACACCCCATAGGATATAATGGATCCCCATAGCACACACTGTACGCCCCATAGGATATAATGGATCCCCATAGCACACACTGTACACCCCATAGGATATAATGGATCCCCCATAGCACACACTGTACACCCCATAGACCCCAATGGATCCCCATAGCACACACTGTACACCCCATAGGATATAATGGATCCCCATAGCACACACTGTACACCCCATAGGATATAATGGATTCCCATAGCACACACTGTACACCCCATAGGATATAATGGATCCCCATAGCACACACTGTACACCCCATAGGATATAATGGATCCCCATAGCACACACTGTACGCCCCATAGGATACACTGTACACCCCATAGCACACACTGTACACCCCATAGAATATAATGGATCCCCATAGCACACACTGTACACCCCATAGGATATAATGGATCCCCATAGCACACACTGTACACCCCATAGGATATAATGGATCCCCATAGCACACACTGTACACCCCATAGGATATAATGGATCCCCATAGCACACACTGTACACTCCATAGACCACAGTGGATCCCCCATAGGATATAATGGATCTCCCATAGGATACATTGGATCCCCCATAGCACACACTGTACGCCCCATAGGATACATTGGATCCCCCATAGCACACACTGTACGCCCCATAGGCCACAAGGTCTCTCCCATAGGATATAATGGGTCCCCATAGCACACACTGTACACCCCATAGACCACAATGGATCCCCCATAGACCCCAATGGATCCCCCATAGACCACAGCGGATCCCCATAGACCACAATGGATCCCCCATAGACCACAACGGATCCCCCATAGACCACAAGGGATCCCCCATAGGATACACTGTACACCCCATAGGATATAATGGATCCCCATAGCACACACTGTACACCCCATAGGATATAATGGATCCCCATAGCACACACTGTACACCCCATAGGATATAATGGATCCCCATAGCACACACTGTACACCCCATAGGATATAATGGATCCTCATAGCACACACTGTACACCCCATAGGATATAATGGATCCCCATAGCACACACTGTACACCCCATAGGATATAATGGATCCTCATAGCACACACTGTACACCCCATAGACCCCAATGGATCCCCATAGACCCCAATGGATCCCCATAGACCACAGCGGATCCCCCATAGACCACAGCGGATCCCCCATAGGATACACTGTACACCCCATAGGATATAATGGATCCCCCATAGCACACACTGTACGCCCCATAGGCCACAAGGTCTCTCCCATAGGATATAATGGATCCCCATAGCACACACTGTACACCCCATAGACCCCAATGGATCCCCCATAGACCACAGCGGGTCCCCCTCCGGCCTCAGGGTGTCCCCGTCCCTCAGGGCGCGGTTGCCCCGGGCACGTGGAAGCGGAACCCGATGATGTCGGAGCCCCGGAGCAGCGCCGCCTCCTGCCGGCCCAGCGGGGTCCGGAGCCCCTCCACGAGCAGCGCCGCCGCCTCCCGCTCCGCCGCCCCCAGCGTGGCCTCCACGCGGACCCCGCCGCGGAGCCGGAACCGAGCGGGGCGGCCCCGTCCGGCCCCCAGCGCCCGCAGGAACCGGGCCCGGAGCCGCGCCCGCGCCCGCTGCGCCTCCGCCTCCGCCGCCTCCTCCTCCGGACGAGGTCCGCGGCGGGACTCGAACCCGCGGCTCCGCCCGTCCGGGCCCCGCGGCAGCCGCAGCACCGGCACCGGCACCGGCTCCGCGTCCTCGGGCGGGCTCATGGGGACTGCGGGGGCAGCGCGGGGAGAGGCAGCCCCGGGCATCGGCACCTGTGGACAGAGCAAGGCCACATAGATAGCACATGGCCCCATAGACATCTATGGACAGAGCACGGCCCCATAGATAGCACATGGCCCCATAGACACCTATGGACAGAGCACAGCCCCATAGATAGCACATGGCCCCATAGACATCTATGGACAGAGCACGGCCCCATAGATAGCACATGGCCCCATAGGCACCTATGGACAGAGCACGGCCCCATAGACATCTATGGACAGAGCACGGCCCCATAGACATCTATGGACAGAGCACAGCCCCATAGATAGCACATGGCCCCATAGGCACCTATGGACAGAGCACGGCCCCATAGACATCTATGGACAGAGCACGGCCCCATAGACATCTATGGACAGAGCACAGCCCCATAGATAGCACACAGCCCCATAGGCACCTATGGACAGAGCACAGCCCCATAGATAGCACATGGCCCCATAGATAGCACACAGCCCCATAGGCACCTATGGACAGAGCACAGCCCCATAGATAGCACATGGCCCCATAGACATCTATGGACAGAGCACAGCCCCATAGATAGCACATGGCCCCATAGATAGCACACAGCCCCATAGGCACCTATGGACAGAGCACAGCCCCATAGATAGCACATGGCCCCATAGATAGCACACAGCCCCATAGGCACCTATGGACAGAGCACAGCCCCATAGATAGCACATGGCCCCATAGACATCTATGGACAGAGCACAGCCCCATAGATAGCACATGGCCCCATAGATAGCACACAGCCCCATAGGCACCTATGGACAGAGCACAGCCCCATAGATAGCACATGGCCCCATAGACATCTATGGACAGAGCACAGCCCCATAGATAGCACATGGCCCCATAGACATCTATGGACAGAGCACAGCCCCATAGATAGCACATGGCCCCATAGGCACCTATGGACAGAGCACAGCCCCATAGATAGCACATGGCCCCATAGGCACCTATGGACAGAGCACAGCCCCATAGACATCTATGGACAGAGCACAGCCCCATAGATAGCACATGGCCCCATAGGCACCTATGGACAGAGCACGGCCCCATAGATAGCACATGGCCCCATAGGCACCTATGGACAGAGCACGGCCCCATAGACATCTATGGACAGAGCACAGCCCCATAGATAGCACATGGCCCCATAGACATCTATGGACAGAGCACGGCCCCATAGATAGCACATGGCCCCATAGGCACCTATGGACAGAGCACAGCCCCATAGACATCTATGGACAGAGCAAGGCCACATAGATAGCACATGGCCCCATAGGCACCTATGGACAGAGCACGGCCCCATAGGCATCTATGGACAGAGCACAGCCCCATAGATAGCACATGGCCCCATAGATAGCACATGGCCCCATAGATAGCACATGTCCCCATAGACATCTATGGACAGAGCACAGCCCCATAGATAGCACATGTCCCCATAGACATCTATGGACAGCACACAGCCCCATAGACATCTATGGACAGAGCACAGCCCCATAGATAGCACACAGCCCCATAGGCACCTATGGACAGAGCACAGCCCCATAGATAGCTATGGACAGAGCACGGCCACATAGATAGCACACAGCCCCATAGGCACCTATGGACAGAGCACAGCCCCATAGACATCTATAGACAGAGCACAGCCCCATAGATAGCACACAGCCCCATAGGCACCTATGGACAGAGCACGGCCCCATAGACACCCAGAGACAGCACACAGCCCCATAGACATCTACAGACACCTATAGATAGGGCACAGCCTCATAGACACCTATAGGGCAGAGCCTACATGGGGACTCCATGGTTACACCCCATTAAAAGATCCCCCTACAGCCCCTCCCCAACCCCTTCACTGCCCCACATCCGCACCCTTCACTGCCCCACATCTGCACCCTTCACTGCCCCACATCCGCACCCTTCACTGCCCCACATCTGCACCCTTCACTGCCCCACATCTGCACCCTTCACTGCCCCACATCTGCACCCTTCACTGCCCCACATAGGACCCCCCCCCCCAAAGACGCCCCATAGCCCCACGGTGCCTCCAAGCCCCTTTCACAGCCCCACATCTGCCCCCCTCAACCCCTTCGTTGCCCCACACGCCCCCCCCCCCCCCATAGAACCCCCCCAGGCCCACGGTGCCCCCCAAGTGCCCCTGAGCCCCGCACTGCCCCACATGCCCCCCCCCCCTCCCATTAGGCCCAGGGTGTCCCCAAGGGCCCCCACAGGCCCACAACCCTCCAAGACCTCCCATAGACCTCCCATAGACCCACGGTGCCCCCCAAGTGCCCCCCAAGTGCCCCCAGCCCCACACGGGCCCTGCCCCGGTACCTCCGCTCCGCTCCGGCTCTACCCCCGTTCCCTCCGCCGCAGATTCGCCACGGGACGTTCGTCACCGCAGATTCAACACCGCAGATTCAACACCGCAGATTCAACACCGCAGATTCAACACCGCAGATTCAACACCGCAGATTCGCCACCGCAGATTCAACACCGCAGATTCGTCACCGCAGATTCAACACCGTAGATTCGCCACCGCAGATTCAACACCGCAGATTCAACACCGCAGATTCAACACCGCAGATTCGCCACCGCAGATTCGCCACCGCAGATTCAACACCGCAGATTTAACACCGCAGATTCAACACCGCAGATTCGCCGCCGCAGATTCGCCACGGCAGATTCAACACCGCAGATTCGCCACCGCAGATTCGCCACCCTCGGTCCCGTGTCGAATCTGCGGGCGCGGCGGGCGCGGGGCGCTGGGCGCGGAGCGGCTCCGCCATGGAGCAGGCCCCGGGGCAGGCCCCGGAGCCCCGCGGAGCCCAGGCCGAGGACGGGCGGCTCCGGGCCGGGGCCAAGCGCGTCACGTTCCCGTCGGACGAGGACATCGTGTCCGGGGCCGTGGAGCCCAAGGACCCCTGGAGGCACGGTACGGGGGGGGGGGTGCGGGGAGCGGGTGGGAACGGGGCTGTATTGAGGGTAACGGGGTTGTATTGGGGGTAACGGGGCTGCAGTGGGGGTAACGGGGTTGTATTGGGGGTAACGGGGCTGTATTGGGGGTAACGGGGTTGTGTTGGGGGTAACGGGGCTGCAGTGGGGGTAACGGGGTTGTATTGGGGGTAACGGGGCTGTATTGGGGGTAACGGGGTTGTATTGGGGGTAACGGGGTTGTATTGGGGGTAACGGGGTTGTGTTGGGGGTAACGGGGTTGTATTGGGGGTAATGGGGCTGTATTGGGGGTAACGGGGTTGTATTGGGGGTAACGGGGCTGTATTGGGGGTAACGGGGCTGCAGTGGGGGTAACGGGGCTGTATTGGGGGTAACGGAGTTGTATGGGGGGTAACGGGGCTGTATTGGGGGTAACGGGGCTGCAGTGGGGGTAACGGGGTTGTATTGGGGGTAATGGGGCTGTATTGGGGGTAACGGGGTTGTATTGGGGGTAATGGGGCTGTATTGGGGTAACGGGGTTGTGTTGGGGGTAATGGGGCTGCAGTGGGGGTAACGGGGCTGTATTAGGGGTAACGGGGTTCCATTGATGGTAACGGGGCTGCATTGATGGTAATGGGGCTGCATTGATGGTAGCAGGGTTCCATTGATGGTAATGGGGCTGTATTTGGGTTAACGGGGCTGTATTGGGGGTAACAGGGTGCCATTGGGTGTAATGGGGTTCCATTGATGGTAACGGGGCTGCATTGAGGGTAACGGGGTTGCACTGGTGGTAATGGGGCTGCACTGGGGGTAACGGGGCTGCACTGGGGGTAATGGGGCTGTATTGATGGTAACAGGGCTCCATTGATGGTAACGGGGCTGCAGTGGGAGTAACGGGGCTGCATTGGGGGTAACAGGGCTGCACTGGGGGTAATGGGGCTGCCTTGAGGGTAACGGGGTTTCATTGATGGTAACGGGGCTGCATTGGGGTTAACAGGGCTGTATTGGGGGTAATGGGGCTGCATTGATGGTTACAGGGCTGCACTGGGGGTAACGGGGCTGTATTGGGGGTAACAGGGTTCCATTGATGGTAACGGGGTTGCACTGATGGTAACAGGGCTGCAATGGGGGTAACGGGGCTGCATTGGGGGTAACGGGGTGCCATTGGGGGTTATGGGGCTGCATTGGGGGTAACGGGGCTGCACTGGGGGTAATGGGGCTGCATTGATGGTAACGGGGCTGCAATGGGAGTAACGGGGCTGCATTGGGGGTAACAGGGCTGCACTGGGGGTAATGGGGCTGCATTGATGGTTACAGGGCTGCACTGGGGGTAACGGGGCTGTTTTGGGGGTAACAGGGTTCCATTGGTGGTAATGGGGTTCCATTGATGGTAACAGGGCTGCAATGGAGATAATGGGGCTGCATTGCTGGTAACAGGGTTCCATTGATGGTAATGGGGCTGCAATGGGGGTAACAGGGTTCCATTGCTGGTAACAGGGCTGCAATGGGGGTAATGGGGCTGCATTGCTGGTAATGGGGTTCCATTGCTGGTAACAGGTCCGCAGTGGGGGTAATGGGGCTGCATTGCTGGTAACGGGGTTCCATTGATGATAACAGGGCTGCAATGGGCATAATGGGGCTGCATTGCTGGTAACGGGGTTCCATTGCTGGTAACAGGTCCGCAGTGGGGGTAATGGGGCTGCATTGCTGGTAACGGGGTTCCATTGATGATAACAGGGCTGCAATGGGGATAATGGGGCTGCATTGCTGGTAACGGGGTTCCATTGCTGGTAACAGGTCCGCAGTGGGGGTAATGGGGCTGCATTGCTGGTAACGGGGTTCCATTGATGATAACAGGGCTGCAATGGGGATAATGGGGCTGCATTGCTGGTAACGGGGTTCCATTGCTGGTAACAGGTCCGCAATGGGGGTAATGGGGCTGCATTGCTGGTAACGGGGTTCCGTTGATGGTAACAGGGCTGCAATGGAGATAATGGGGCTGCATTGCTGGTAACGGGGTTCCGTTGATGGTATCGGGGCTGCATTGCTGGTAATGGGGTTCCGTTGCCGGTGATGGGATCTGGAATGAGGGCAGAATCCCGTGTTCCCAGTGTCCTCCATTGCTCCTTCCCATTGGCTTCAGGAGGCTTTGGGTCCTCCTCATCCCAACATTTGACCCCACAAGGGCTGGGAATAGGGCCGGGGGGGGGGCAAGGTTTGCTGGGGAGGCTTTGGAGCACCGGGAACGCCGCTGGATGGCAGTCGGGATCATGGGGACATCCTCCATGGGGCAGGTTCCTCCTTGGGCACTGCCGGGGATGGAGCATCCAACCCTTCCCCATTCATCCCACTGGGAAGGGCTTCCCGGTATCCCGCTCCTTTGCTGCTTGCTCTGGGGGGGGTTGGAGCTATTCCCACCTTTCCCCCCCCTCCTGGAGCTGCACCGGGGCTCAGGGATGCGGTGTTGGGTTCCATCCCTCCTCCTCCATGAATTATTCCTGCCTTGGATTCCTCATCTCCAGGCTCAGGTTCCAGGCTCCAACCTCCCTCTTGGCTCCTGCCCTTCAGCTGCTCCCTTATCCCTACCCGGGATGTGCTGGCATTAACCCGGGCATTCCCAGCTTGGTTTCCAGTGTTTACCTCAGCCAAGGGGGGATCTGGGATAGGGTGGTGCTGGGAAGAGGGAAGATGTATGGCCGGGAGCTGCTGCCATCCTCCTCAGTCAGCTTCCCTGCAGTGTGTCCTATGGGAGCTTCCCATTGCATCCTATGGGAGCTCCCCACTGTGTCCTATGGGAGCTTCCCACTGTGTCCTATGGGAGCTCCCCACTGTGTCCTATGGGAGCTCCCCACTGTGTCCTATGGGAGCTCCCCATTGTGTCCTATGGGAGCTCCCCATTGTGTCCTATGGGAGCTCCCCATTGTGTCCTATGGGAGCTCCCCATTGTGTCCTATGGGAGCTCCCCATTGCATCCTATGGGAGCTTCCCATTGTGTCCTATGGGAGCTTCCCATTGTGTCCTATGGGAGCTCCCCACTGTGTCCTATGGGAGCTCCCCATTGCGTCCTATGGGAGCTTCCCATTGTGTCCTATGGGAGCTTCCCATTGCATCCTATGGGAGCTTCCCACTGTGTCCTATGGGAGCTCCCCATTGTGTCCTATGGGAGCTCCCCGTTGTGTCCTATGGGAGCTCCCCGTTGTGTCCTATGGGAGCTCCCCACTGTGTCCTATGGGAGCTCCCCATTGCGTCCTATGGGAGCTTCCCATTGCGTCCTATGGGAGCTTCCCATTGCATCCTATGGGAGCTTCCCACTGTGTCCTATGGGAGCTCCCCGTTGTGTCCTATGGGAGCTCCCCACTGTGTCCTATGGGAGCTCCCCGTTGTGTCCTATGGGAGCTCCCCGTTGTGTCCTATGGGAGCTTCCCATTGTGTCCTATGGGAGCTCCCTGTTGTGTCCTATGGGAGCTTCCCATTGTGTCCTATGGGAGCTCCCCACTGTGTCCTATGGGAGCTCCCCGTTGTGTCCTATGGGAGCTCCCCATTGTGTCCTATGGGAGCTTCCCATTGTGTCCTATGGGAGCTTCCCATTGTGTCCTATGGGAGCTCCCCATTGTGTCCTATGGGAGCTCCCCACTGTGTCCTATGGGAGCTCCCCATTGCATCCTATGGGAGCTCCACTGTGTCCTATGGGAACTTCCCAGTGTGTCCTATGGGAGCTCCCCATTGTGTCCTATGGGAGCTCCGCACTGTGTCCTATGGGAGCTCCCCACTGTGTCCTATGGGAGCAGCAGGGCCAAGGGGGGGACCCTCCTGGAGCACTGGGGCCAGGTCTGGGGTCGCCAACATCAGGAGACGTGGAGCGGGGCTTCGGACACGGGAGGGATGGGATGGGATGGGATGGGATGGGATGGAAGAGGTGGATGGGCTCTTGGGATGAAGCTCTTCCCATGAGGGTGGTGGGACACTGGCATGGGTTGGGTGCTCCATCACCATCAAGGGCCCTTGGTTGGGCCTGGCTGAGCTTTAAGGTCTTCTCCAACCCAACCCTGTCGTGATTCCAAGGGCTTTAGGAGCGAATCCAGGGGTCCTGATCCTTCTTCCCGCTGGAATCCCAGTGATGCCGGTGGGAAGTGGGCCCGGGATGGGCCAGAGCAGCGCAAATCCCATCCTCCAGCAGAAGAGGTGGAGAGAGCTTCCCCCAGGAGAGGGCACCAGAGCCTGTGTGGTGCTGGAGCTCCTTTGGGACAGGGAATCCTTCAGCTGGGACCTCCTGGAGATGCTCATTCCCATGGGAATAGCGCTGACCCTCGGCTCCCGAGCACGCTTGGTTTGCGGGAGGAAAGCCGATGGGATCAGGGAACTTTGCTGCTGTTGGCGTGTTTCCCCCCTTCAGCTCCTAGGGAATCATATCCCGTGTCAGGGAAGCATGGAAGAGTCAACCAGGTTGGGAAAACCCTTCAGGCTCAATCCCAGCCTTCCCCCATTCCCGTGTCCCCCGGGCTCTCAGCAGGGAGCGGGTGGAATCCCGGTGGTTTTCCATCCCTCTCCGGGATCATATGGCGCAATCCATGGGGATGGCAGGACGAGGAGGGGCTGGGGCTGTTTGTGCTTGGCCGGGTGAGCTTCCTTGGGGAGCTGGTTCCTCCTGCTCCGCTTCCCACCGGGAATAGCTGCAGTGTTTGTGTGGGGCCAAGGCGAAGCGGGCATCGCCGCCCTCAGCCCACAGCATCCGGAGCAGCGGCCTCAGCCCGCAGTGCGGAAGGGCAGGAGCTTCCCGATGGGAATTGCAGCTCAACCCCTTGGGGACACGGGGAATGGCTGGAGATGGGATTCAGGGAGGAAGCTCTCCCCTCGGAGCCCGTTGGGATGCTGGGATGAGCGGAGAAGGTTTGGTTCCACGGGGCTTGGAGCAACGTGGGCTCCGCACCCTTCCCATGGAACTTTAGGGTGCTTCCCAGCCCCCGTCATTCCATGATTCCATGCTTTCCTGGCCTGTGTTCCAGGAGGAACGCATCTGACGTGATCTCTTATCCCACGGCGCTTCCCAAAAGCCTTCCTGCTCCTCAGGGAGCCAGAGCACCCTTGGAAGAGCTGGGTTGGCTTTTCCAGCCCCATTCCTGCCCAAAGAAACCGGGACTTGCTCCCATCCGTGTCCTTCGTGTTGGAGCAGGCAAATCCCTGTCCTCTCCTTGCCTGGGTGCAGATCCCGGTGGATAACAGGGATTCCCATGGTGCAGTGTGGGAAGCTCATCCCTTCCCCGTGTCCTTGCAGCCCAGAACGTGACGGTGGAGGAAATCCTGAGTGCCTACAAGCAGGCCTGCCAGAAGCTCAACTGCAAGCAGATCCCCAAGCTCCTGAAGCAGATCCAGGTAGAGCTGGGGCTCAACCCCCCCATTCCCAACGGGAATCCGGGCTGAAGTCCCCGCTCTGCCCCCCCCCCCCCATGGGGTTAACACAAACCCGATGGGATGCTCCAAGCTCTTCCCTTGTCCCTGCTCTTCCCTCTGCAGGAGTTCAAGGAGCTGGCTCCCAGGATAGACTGCTTGGATCTCAAAGGTGAGGCCTTGCTCCGTCCATCCCCATGGACCTGCGTCCTCTTCCTGGACCATTCCCGGCTGGAATTGTGCTCCCAGTCGGGGCTCTCGTAGCCTTAATCCCAGAAGAGGGAATTCCAGGCTGAGGGATCCTCCAGCCTTCCAGCAGGATCCTCATCCCACAACAGCCCCTTTGGCACATAGGGATAAGCAGGAGCCCATTAGCCCCACGCTTTTGGTCTTGAAGCTCCAGTAGGAAAACTGGGAATGGTTCCCTACAGCCACCACTGGCTCCTATGGAGCATCTCCGGTAGCTCCAGCGAGGAGAGGAATTGCATTGCCCTCCCTTCCCCACAAGGGATGTCTCCTGCAGGGAATAACTTGGGAATGCCCCATATGGGGGTCGTTGGGGAGGGGATGGGGGGGGGAATCCCCCTCCCCACGGCTCCTCCCGGAGCTCATCCCACTTTTCCCAGGGGAGAAGCTGGATTACAAGGCCTGCGAGGCGCTGGAGGAGATCTTCAAGCGGGTCCAGTTCAAGATCGTGGACCTGGAGCAGACGAGCCTGGATGAGGACGTGAGTGACCTGAGTTCCCCCCCTCCCCTCCTCTGACTCCTGTGCTCGATCCAATGGGAAGTGGGGCAAACGGGAATGCTGCCCGTGCTCAGCTCCATAGGGATTCGTTGTGCCTCCGGTGCCAGAGGAGCCCTGGGACCTTTCCCAGGCCCAAATCCTGCTGTGCTGCTCCCAAAGCCTGCTGTAAGCCCTGGGTTGCACCTTTGGTTTGGAGCCCCCTTGGATGCTTCCTTGGCCTGGGAAGGGCTGGCAAATCCCCCCCGGAGCAACCAGCCAACGATCCAAAGGCAATCCCATTTGCCTGTATCCTTGGAAGCATCCTTCAAGTCCCTCCATGGCCAGAACCTGGGTGCCCAGGGCTTGGATCCCTTTGCAAGGTGCCACCTCTTGGCTGGCTTCCCCCGTGAAGATGGCTCCAGTGAGAGCCCCGGAGCTATTCCCAGTGCTGGGAACGCCGGGAATGCCCTCCATGGTGGAGGGCAGAGGGGACATGGCCAGGGAGGGGAATCGAACGCGTGGGCTTTGCTGTGGGGCTGCAGGGCTCCATGGGGCCGGGAGAGGCATCCGGAGGAGCCGTTTTTCCCCCCCCTTTCCCAAGCAATTCCCAAGGTTTTTCCCTGTGCCCATAGGGAGCCTCGGCGCTGTTTGACATGATCGAGTACTACGAGTCGGCCACGCACCTCAACATCTCCTTCAACAAGCACATCGGCACCCGCGGCTGGCAGGCGGCCGCGCACATGATGCGGAAGGTGGGTGCTCCCAGCACCCATGGGTGCCCTGCATCCCTCGGGATTGGGTTCGTGCGGCTCTGTTCCCGAGGCACGGGGCCGGGGCGAGCTGGAGGGCAGGGAGGAACATCAGCCTTGCCGCATGGCAACGGGGTGGGAAGGAGCTGGAGGTTGATCCCAACCTTCCGTGGTGGAGCAGCCAAACTGGGAGCATCCGTAGGGATGGAGCAGCCAAACTGGGAGCATCCTTAGGGATGGAGCAGCCAAACTGGGAGCATCCGTAGGGATGGAGCAGCCAAACTGGGAGCATCCTTAGGGATGGAGCAGCCAAACCGGGAGCATCCTTAGGGATGGAGCAGCCAAACTGGGAGCATCCTTAGGGATGGAGCAGCCAAACCGGGAGCATCCTTAGGGATGGAGTAGCCAAACTGGGAGCATCCGTAGGGATGGAGCAGCCAAACTGGGAGCATCCTTAGGGATGGAGCAGCCAAACTGGGAGCATCCGTAGGGATGGAGCAGCCAAACTGGGAGCATCCTTAGGGATGGAGCAGCCAAACCGGGAGCATCCTTAGGGATGGAGCAGCCAAACCGGGAGCATCCGTAGGGATGGAGCAGCCAAACTGGGAGCATCCTTAGGGATGGAGCAGCCAAACTGGGAGCATGCATAGGGATGGAGCAGCCAAACCGGGAGCATCCGTAGGGATGGAGCAGCCAAACTGGGAGCATCTGTAGGGATGGAGCAGCCAAACTGGGAGCATCCGTAGGGATGGAGCAGCCAAACTGGGAGCATCCTTAGGGATGGAGCAGCCAAACTGGGAGCATCCTTAGGGATGGAGCAGCCAAACTGGGAGCATCCGTAGGGATGGAGCAGCCAAACCGGGAGCATCCTTAGGGATGGAGCAGCCAAACTGGGAGCATCCTTAGGGATGGAGCAGCCAAACCGGGAGCATCCTTAGGGATGGAGCAGCCAAACTGGGAGCATCGTTAGGGATGGAGCAGCCAAACTGGGAGCATCCTTAGGGATGGAGCAGCCAAACCGGGAGCATCCTTAGGGATGGACCAGCCAAACCGGGAGCATCCATAGGGATGGAGCAGCCAAACCGGGAGCATCCATAGGGATGGAGCAGCCAAACTGGGAGCATCCTTAGGGATGGAGCAGCCAAACTGGGAGCATCCATAGGGATGGAGCAGCCAAACCGGGAGCATCCTTAGGGATGGAGCAGCCAAACTGGGAGCATCCTTAGGGATGGAGCAGCCAAACTGGGAGCATCCTTAGGGATGGAGCAGCCAAACCTTCTCCCTCCAACCCATGCCAGTGTGCCAGCAGCCTCGTGGTGAGGCTCTTCCTCCCCAGACCCCATCTCAATCCTCCCCTCTTATCAGGTCAAAGCCATTATCCCATCCCTCCATCCCATGTCTCCTAGAGCCCCCCATAGGCGGCCCCACGGGCCGGGATAGGGGTTGGGATATGGGTTGGGAAGGCCTTGGCTGTGGAGTGGAGCCCATGGAAGCACCGATCCCAGCCTCTGGAGCCGGGTGCTCATTATCCTCCCACCGGATGGGCACTGTTGGGCTTTGCCTCATTGACCTCATTGTGGAGCTGAGCTGGAGCCAAGGAGGAGGAGGAGGCAGCTCAGGGTGAGGCAGCAACCACCCTCGCTCCGCAATTATCCCTCGGGATGCAGGATGGGGCTGAGCTGGGATCTGCAGGGCCCAGCCCATGGCTTGCAGGAGCCAAAGGCGCTGCCGGAGCCCCTCGTGGTGCTTCAGACCCAGTTGTGGGGTGAAGGAGCCGGGGACTCCCTTGGGAGGCTGCAGCCCTGGGATGGGTTGGGATAGGAGCTTCCCATCATCCGGATCCGACCCACAGGGATGCCTTCCATAGGGCAGCTGGCTCCAAACCTGTGTCCCAGAGTGAAGAACTTCCCCGTGTCCAACCTGAGCTTCCCCTGGGGCATCCCCCCTCTCAAATCCCATTGAGTTTGGGGCCGTTAAGCTCTGCAAGGCTGGGACAGAGCTGGTTCTCCGGGTGGGATTGCCCGGAGAGGGCTTCTCGGAGCAGCTCCTCCTGCTCCCTCCGATGGCTGCAGTGCAGGAGCCCGGCGCCCGGGCTGGGATTTGGCCTGGGTGGCCAATGGGGGTGATTCCCATGGCACGGCGTTCCCTGTTGCCCAGACCAACTGCCTGCAGTACCTGGATGCCCGGAACACGCCGCTCCTGGACCACGCGGCCCCGTTCGTGGCGCGGGCGCTGCGCATCAGCAGCAGCCTCGTGGTGCTGCACCTGGAGAACGCGTCCCTGTCCGGCCGCCCGCTGCTGCTGCTGGGTGAGCCCGGACGGGAGGGGAATGGGGCAAGGGATAATGGGAATGGGGCAAGGGACAGCGGGAATGGGGCAAGGGATAATGGGAATGGGGCAAGGGACAGCGGGAATGGGGCAAGGGATAATGGGAATGGGGCAAGGGACAGCGGGAATGGGGCAAAGGAGAGCGGGAATGGGGCAAGGGATAATGGGAATGGGGCAAAGGAGAGCGGGAATGTGGCAAGGGATAATGGGAATGGGGCAAAGGACAGCGGGAATGGGGCAAAGGATAGTGGGAATGGGGCACCAGGATAATGGGAATGGGGCAAAGGAGAGCGGGAATGGGGCAAGGGATAATGGGAATGGGGCAAAGGAGAGCGGGAATGGGGCAAAGGATAGTGGGAATGGGGCACCAGGATAATGGGAATGGGGCAAAGGAGAGGGGGAGTGGGGCAAAGGATAGCAGGAATGGGGCAAAGGATAGCGGGAATGGGGCACCGGGAGAGGGGGAATGGGGCAAAGGATAGAGGGAATGTGGCAAAGGATAATGGGAATGGGGCACAGGCAAGGGGGAATGGGGCACTGGGATAGAGGGAATGTGGCAAAGGATAGTGGGAATGGGGCACTGGGATAGCAGGAATGGGGCAAAGGAGAGCAGGAATGGGGCAAGGGATAATGGGAATGGGGCACTGGGAGAGGGGGAATGGGGCATTGGGATAGAGGGAATGGGGCACCGGAAGAGAGGGAATGGGGCACAGGATAGTGGGAATGGGGCACTGGGAGAGAGGGAATGGGGCACTGGGAGAGAGGGAATGGGGCATTGAGATAGAGGGAATGGGGCAAAGGATAGTGGGAATGGGGCACTGGGATAGCAGGAATGGGGCACAGGATAGTGGGAATGGGGCACTGGGATAGCGGGAATGGGGCACAGGATAGTGGGAATGGGGCATCGGGATAGCGGGAATGGGGCAAAGGATAGTGGGAATGGGGCACTGGGAGAGGGGGAATGGGGCACTGGGATAGCGGGAATGGGGCACAGGATAGTGGGAATGGGGCACTGGGAGAGGGGGAATGGGGCACTGGGATAGCAGGAATGGGGCACTGGGATAGCAGGAATGGGGCACAGGATAGTGGGAATGGGGCACAGGATAGCTGGAATGGGGCACTGGGATAGCAGGATTGTGACACTTGCAGAGTGGGAGTGGGGCACAGGATAGCAGGAATGGGGCACAGGATAGTGGGAATGGGGCACCGGGAGAGAGGGAATGGGGCACTGGGAGAGGGGGAATGGGGCATCGGATAGCGGGAATGGGGCACCAGGATAATGGGAATGGGGCACTGGGATAGCGGGAATGGGGCACAGGATAGCAGGAATGGGGCACAGGATAGCGGGAATGGGGCACCAGGAGAGGGGGAATGGGGCACAGGATATTCGGAATGGGGCACCGGGATAGGGGGAATGTCCCACTGGGATAGTGGGAATGTGCCATCGGGATAGTGGGAGTGTGACACGGGATAGTGGGAATGTCCCACTGGGATTGCAAGAGTCCCATCCCTGTGCCCTGCATCCCACTGGGATACTGGGAGAGACTCATCCCAGGCCCCACATCCCACTGGGATACTGGGTGAGCCCATCCCCATGTCCCACATCCCATGGGATACTGGGAGAGTCCATCCCCATGTCCCACATCCCACCGGGATACTGGGAGAGTCCCATCCCTGTGTCCCACATCCCATGGGATACTGGGAGAGTCCATCCCCATGTCCCACATCCCATGGGATACTGGGTGAGTCCATCCCCATGTCCCACATCCCACCGGGATACTGGGAGAGTCCATCCCCATGTCCCACATCCCATGGGATACTGAGAGAGTCCCATCCCTGTGTCCCCCATCCCATGGGATACTGGGTGAGCCCATCCCTGTGTCCCCCATCCCATGGGATACTGGGTGAGCCCATCCCCATGTCCCACATCCCATGGGATACTGGGTGAGTCCCATCCCTGTGTCCCCCATCCCATGGGATACTGGGTGAGTCCCATCCCTGTGTCCCCCATCCCATGGGATACTGGGTGAGTCCATCCCCATGTCCCCCATCCCATGGGATACTGGGTGAGTCCATCCCCATGTCCCACATCCCACCGGGATACTGGGAGAGTCCATCCCCATGTCCCACATCCCATGGGATACTGAGAGAGTCCCATCCCTGTGTCCCACATCCCATGGGATACTGAGAGAGTCCCATCCCTGTGTCCCACATCCCATGGGATACTGGGTGAGTCCCATCCCTGTGTCCCCCATCCCATGGGATACTGGGTGAGTCCATCCCCATGTCCCACATCCCATGGGATACTGGGTGAGTCCCATCCCTGTGTCCCCCATCCCATGGGATACTGCTGCAGGAGGGAGGTTGGATGCTGCTGTGGGGCTGCCCTACTCCCACTCCTGTTCCTGGGCAGTTGTTATCCCATGGATCCGGGATACATCAGAGCAGGATGGAGCTAATGGCAGGGTTGGGATAACAGGGACGAGCTCTGCCCAGGCAGCATGTAGCACCTTATTCCAGGTGGGAATAACTCAGGGAATCACGGAAGCAGCTAAGTTGGAAAAGACCTTCAAGCTCAAGTCCAGCCTTGTCAGCAAGGGCCTTGTCTCCATGGGCAGGCAACGGGAAAGGGGTGGAATCCCTTCCAGGGATGTGATTCCATCATTCCAGCCTCTCCCAATGCCTTTTGGGGAGGAAATGATTCCCAATATCCCCCTGAAACCTCCCCGGAGCACCTCGAGGCCGTTCCCTCTCTGTCTCCAGACAGGAGCCGGGGCGCCCCTTCCCCACAAAGGGATCCCGGCCCTTGGGGATGCCCATGTGGGAATTCCATGTGGGAATTCCCTGCCTGTGGGGGTTTTGAGGTGCCCTTTTCCACAGCCACGGCGCTGAAGATGAACATGAACCTCCGGGAGCTCTACCTGGCCGACAACAAGCTCAACGGGCTGCAGGACTCGGCCCAGCTGGGCAACCTGCTCAAGTTCAACTGCTCCATCCACATCCTGGACCTGCGCAACAACCACATCCTGGACTCGGGTGAGGGGGCCTCATCCCCGCCCCTGCATCCCTCGGGAATCGCATCCCGTGGGGCTGAGAGACACCCCGGGGGGCTGGGTGTGGATGCTGGGGGGGGGGACCCCAACTGAAGGTGGAAAGGTGGATGTGCCGGCTTTGCCAGCAGGAGGGATGTGGGAAGGGGGTGGAATGGGGGGATATGGAGAGGGGGGGCTGCCAGTGTGATGGTGCCATGGTGTTCCCATAGGAATGATGTGGGAAGGGGGGAACACGATGGGGGGTGCTGCCAGTGTGATGGTGCCATGGTGTTCCCATAGGAATGATGTGGGAATGGGGGGATATGGGGGGGGGGCTGCCAGTGTGATGGTGCCGTGGTGTTCCCATAGGAATGATGTGGGAATGGGGGGATATGGAGAGGGGGGGCTGCCAGTGTGATGGTGCCATGGTGTTCCCACAGGAATGATGTGGGAATGAGGGGATATGGGGGGGGGGGGCTGCCAGTGTGATGGTGCCGTGGTGTTCCCATAGGAATGATGTGGGAATGGGGGGATATGGTGGGGGGGGGCTGCCAGTGTGATGGTGCCATGGTGTTCCCATAGGAATGATGTGGGAATTCGGGGACACAGAGGGAGGTGCTGCCAGCATGATGGTGCCATGGTGTTCCCATAGGAATGATGTGGGAATGGGGGGGACAGGATGGGGGGTGCTGCCAGTGTGATGGTGCCATGGTGTTCCCATGGGAATGATGTAGGAATGGGGGGATATGGTGGGGGGGGGCTGCCAGTGTGATGGTGCCGTGGTGTTCCCATAGGAATGATGCAGGAAGGGGTTGGAATGGGGGGACAGGATGGGGGTGCTGCCAGTGTGATGGTGCCATGGTGTTCCCATAGGAATGATGTGGGAAGGGGGGAACACGATGGGGGGTGCTGCCAGTGTGATGGTGCCGTGGTGTTCCCATAGGAATGATGCAGGAAGGGGTTGGAATGGGGGGACAGGATGGGGGTGCTGCCAGTGTGATGGTGCCATGGTGTTCCCATAGGAATGATGTGGGAATTGGGGGACACAGAGGGAGGTGCTGCCAGCATGATGTTGCCATGGTGTTCCCATAGGAATGATGCAGGAAGGGGGGGACACGTTGGGGGTGCTCCCAGCATGATGGTGCCATGGTGTTCCCATAGGAATGATGCAGGAAGGGGGGGACACATTGGGGGTGCTCCCAGCGTGCCGGTGCCCTGTTTTTCCCCATCCTCCATCCCACGGGATGCGCGGAACCGCGGTGAGAACCAGCAGCATCCCTTTGGGAAGCCACGCTGATCCCGGGGGCTCTTTTCCAGGCCTGGCCTACATCTGCGAGGGGCTGAAGGAGCAGCGGAAGGGCTTGCTCACCCTGGTGCTGTGGAACAACCAGCTGACCCACGCCGGCATGGCCTACCTGGGAATGACGCTGGTGAGCGCCTTCGGAACGCCGGGAAGCGCCCCATCCCCATTGGAGACCCTGCTCCTTGTGTGCCTCCCCCCCACCCCACACCGCTGTGGGTGCACACAGGGCCTATGGGTTAACCCCACCTGGACCCCATGCTCTGGAACCGCCCCCACAGCCTCACACGCAGAGCTTGGAGACCCTCAACCTGGGCCACAATCCCATCGGGAACGAAGGCGTCCGCAACCTAAAGAACGGGCTCATCGGGAACCGCTCCGTGCTCCGCCTCGGCCTGGCCTCCACCAAGCTCACGTGTGAAGGTGGGGGCAGGCTGAGGAGCTCCGGGGCTCATGGGGTGGGGGGAAAGGAGAAGGTTGGGGGGCTCCATCCCCGGCGGTGCTCAAGGAGGAGGGGGTTGCCCCATGGAAGGTGTCCCCCGGGGGTTGGATCTGGGTGATGGCCAAGGCTTCCCAACACAAACCATTCCAGGGGGCCGCGATTGTCCCCACAGCTCCGGGGCCGTGGAGGACCTGACTCCATGCTCCCATCCCATTGAGCTCAGTGGGTCCCAGACCCCATCCCTGCTCCCTCAGCTCCGTGTCCCTGTAGGACCTGACTCCATGCTCCCATCCCATTGATCTCAGTGGGTCCCAGATCCCATCCCTGCTCCCTCAGCTCCGTGTTCCCGCAGGAGCCGTGGCCGTGGCCGAGTTCATCGCCGAGAGCCCCCGGCTGCTCCGCCTGGACCTGCGGGAGAACGACGTCAAGACCGGGGGCCTCATGGCCCTGTCCCTGGCCCTCAAGGTCAACCACTCCCTGCTGCGCCTCGACCTGGACCGCGAGCCCAAGAAGGAGGCGGTGGGTGCCGGGTGCAGTGAATCCCATGGGAATGGCGCGGTGGGGACGGCCTCGGAGGCACGGGAGGATGGGAGGAAGAGGGTGGATCCTGGTGGGGTGCTGAGCGCTGCCGGCGTGGCAGTGGGGTGCTGAGCGCTTCCCATAGAGCATTGGGATGCTGAGTGCTTCCCATAGAGCATTGGGATGCTGAGTGCTTCCCATAGAGCATTGGGATGCTGAGTGCTTCCCATAGAGCATTGGGATGCTGAGTGCTTCCCAAAAAGCATTGGGATGCTGAGTGCTTCCCATGGAGCATTGGGATGCTGAGTGCTTCCCATGGAGCATTGGGATGCTGAGTGCTTCCCATGGAGCATTGGGATGCTGAGTGCTTCCCATAGAGCATTGGGATGCTGAGTGCTTCCCATGGAGCATTGGGGTGCTGAGTGCTTCCCATGGAGCATTGGGATGCTGAGTGCTTCCCATGGAGCATTGGGATGCTGAGTGCTTCCCATAGAGCATTGGGATGCTGAGTGCTTCCCATGGAGCATTGGGATGCTGAGTGCTTCCCATGGAGCATTGGGATGCTGAGTGCTTCCCGAAGAGCATTGGGATGCTGAGTGCTTCCCATGGAGCATTGGGATGCTGAGTGCTTCCCATGGAGCATTGGGATGCTGAGTGCTTCCCATAGAGCATTGGGATGCTGAGTGCTTCCCATGGAGCATTGGGGTGCTGAGTGCTTCCCATGGAGCATTGGGATGCTGAGTGCTTCCCATGGAGCATTGGGATGCTGAGTGCTTCCCATAGAGCATTGGGATGCTGAGTGCTTCCCATGGAGCATTGGGATGCTGAGCGCTTCCCATGGAGCATTGGGATGCTGAGTGCTTCCCATGGAGCATTGGGGTGCTGAGTGCTTCCCATGGAGCATTGGGATGCTGAGTGCTTCCCATAGAGCATTGGGATGCTGAGTGCTTCCCATGGAGCATTGGGATGCTGAGTGCTTCCCATAGAGCATTGGGATGCTGAGTGCTTCCCATGGAGCATTGGGATGCTGAGTGCTTCCCATAGAGCATTGGGATGCTGAGTGCTTCCCATAGAGCATTGGGATGCTGAACACTTCCTGACCCGCCTCAAGTCTGGGGGTCCCTGGTCCATCCCCCTGCTCCCAGCCAGGACCCTTCTGGGATGCGCTGAGCATCCCTTGGGCTGGGAATCCCATCATCCCGGTGCTGATTCCTTCGGGAAGAAGCTCTTGAGGAGCTTGTTTCTTGGACTGCCGAGTTCCGTGGGGAAGCACCAGTGCCACCGTTTGGGGTGGAGGAGGATCCGTTGCGTTCCTGGCTGGAAAAGGACCGCGGATCCCGATATTCCCAGTGATTCCCATCCGTTCCCTTGCAGGTGAAGAGCTTCATTGAGACGCAGAAGGCTCTGCTGGGAGAGATCCAGAACGGCTGCAAGCGCAACTTCATCCTGGCCAAGGAGAAGGAGGAGCAGGAGCAGAAGCTGCAGCAATCGGCTTCCATGGCCGAGATCGCCCCGGCCGAGGCTCTGGAAGCGGCTCCGGCCGAGCCCATCCCGGATGGAAGCCCCGGATCCGCGCGGGATGAGGGGCAGGAAGCGATGGCGGCCGAGAACGGGGACACGGAGCCGGCGGAGGGGGATGAGGGGACGGACTCGGACACGGCCACGGATGAGGATGAGGATGAGGCCGCTGCTCCCTCGGGGAGGAAGGAGCTCCCTGACCCCACCGGCGGTGTCCTCGTGTCGCCAGCCCCGAGCATCCCTGGGGATGCTCCCTCCGGCCCCGGGAACGCCGCGGCTCCCGCTCCATCCCATGGAGCCGAGAGGAGGATTTCGGTGTCGAGCCCAGGCCGGGGCCACAAGGTCTTTGTGGTGACGCGCGTGGAGCCGGGCCCGGAGCGGGATGAGGACGCTGATCCCAGCGGGAATACCGAGCCCCAGCCCTGCTCCAATGGAGCCGTCGCCGAGGCTCCCGCTGGAGCCGAGGCGCTTCCCAACGGGCTGAAGGTGGATTTTGCACGGGCGCTTCCGGAGGCGGCCTCGGAAAACGATGGGAAACTGGGAAGTTGGGGAGCAGAGCACGGTAAGAGCTCCGGAATCCGTGGGGACCCCCATTCCCCAGCGCGCTGCCGGAGCCCGGGATGAGCACGGAGCCGTTCCCTTGCTCCTTTCCCAACGGGATATCCCCGGGGCAGTCATTCCTGGGCAGGTTTTCCCAAGGGAATTCCGAGGCTGGGGTGAGTGGGGAGGTGGCCTTTGAAGTGGTTCCTAATGCTCCTCCGGGAGGAGCCGCACTGGATGCGGTGAATCCTTTGGGAAGCTCGAGGAGCCTTGCTTAGCGCTTGGGATAACGGGCAGCATTCCCTGGAGCACGTTGGATGGGAGAAGGGCTGGGAATGCGGGGCTGGGAATGGGGGACTGGGAACGGGGGACTGGGAATGCGGGGCTGGGAATGGGGGACTGGGAATGGGGGGCTGGGAATGCGGGGCTGGGAATGCGGGGCTGGGAATGGGGGACTGGGAATGGGGGGCTGGGAATGTGGGGTTGGGAATGGGGGACTGGGAATGGGGGACTGGGAATGCGGGGCTAGGAATGGGGGACTGGGAATGTGGGGCTGGGAATGCAGGGCTGGGAATGCGGGGCTGGGAATGTGGGGCTCGGAATGCGGCGCTGGGAATGGGGGACTGGGAATGCGGCGCTGGGAATGCGGGGCTGGGAATGCGGGGCTGGGAATGGGGGACTGGGAATGGGGGGCTGGGAATGCGGGGCTGGGAATGCGGGGCTGGGAATGCGGGGCTGGGAATGGGGGACTGGCAATAGGGGACTGGCAATGGGGGACTGGGAATGCGGGGCTGGGAATGCGGGGCTGGGAATGTGGGACTGGGAATGTGGGGCTGGGAATGCGGGGCTTGGAATGCGGGGCTGGGAATGTGGGGCTGGGAATGTGGGGCTGGGAATGGGGGACTGGGAATGCGGGGCTGGGAATGGGGGACTGGGAATGCGGGGTTGGGAATGCGGGGCTGGGAATGGGGGACTGGCAATAGGGGACTGGCAATGGGGACTGGGAATGCGGGGCTTGGAATGCGGGGCTGAGAATGTGGGGCTGGGAATGTGGGGCTGGGAATGGGGGACTGGGAATGCGGGGCTGGGAATGGGGGACTGGGAATGCGGGGTTGGGAATGCGGGGCTGGGAATGCAGGGCTGGGAATGGGGGACTGGGAATGCGGGGCTGGGAATGGGGGACTGGGAATGCAGGGCTGGGAATGGGGGACTGGGAATGCGGGGCTGGGAATGTGGGGCTGGGAATGCAGGGCTGGGAATGGGGGACTGGGAATGCGGGACTGGGAATGTGGGGCTGGGAATGCGGGGCCAGGAATGGGGGACTGGGAATGCGGGGCTGGGAATGTGGGGCTGGGAATGTGGGACTGGGAATGCGGGGCTGGGAATGGGGGACTGGGAATGCGGGGCTGGGAATGGGGGACTGGGAATGCGGGGCCGGGAATGGGGGACTGGGAATGCGGGGCTGGGAATGTGGGGCTGGGAATGTGGGACTGGGGATGCAGGCCTTGGAAAGTGGGACTGGGATACGGGCCTGGGAATGTTGGATTGGGAATGTTGGTTTGGGAACGTCAGGTTGGGAATGTCGAAATGGAAATGTGGGATTGGGAATGTTGGCTTGGGAATGTCAGATTGGAAATGTGGGATTGGGGATATCAGATTAGGAATGTTCATTGGGTTGGTAATGCAGGACTGGGGATGTTGGTTTGGGAATGTTGGATTGGGGATGCTGGATTGGAAATGTGGGATTGGGAGGGTTGGGAATGTCAGGTTGGGAATGCAGGACTGTGAATGGTGGGAACGTGGGATTGGGAATGGGTTGGGAATACAGGACTGTGAATATTGGGAATGTCAGGTTGGGAATGCTGGACTGTGAATGTTGGGAATGTTGGGTTGGGAATGCAGGACTGTGAATGTTGGGAACGTGGGATTGGGAATGTTGGGTTGGGAATGCTGGACTGTGAATGTTGGGAATGTGGGATTGGGAATGCAGGAGTGTGAATGTTGCGAACGTGGGATTGGGAATGTCGGGTTGGGAATGCAGGAGTGTGAATGTTGGGAACGTGGGATTGGGAATGTCGGGTTGGGACTGCAGGACTGTGAATGTTGGGAATGTGGGATTGGGAATGTCGGGTTGGGAATGCTGGACTGTGAATGTTGGGAATGTGGGATTGGGAATGCAGGAGTGTGAATGTTGGGAACGTGGGATTGGGAGGGTTGGGAATGCAGGACTGTGAATGTTGGGAACGTGGGATTGGGAATGTCGGGTTGGGAATGAAGGAATGTGAATGTTGGGAATGTGGGATTGGGAATGCAGGAGTGTGAATGTTGCGAACGTGGGATTGGGAATGTCGGGTTGGGAATGCAGGACTGTGAATGTTGGGAACGTGGGATTGGGAATGTCGGGTTGGGAATGCTGGACTGTGAATGTGGGATTGGGAGTGTCGGGTTGGGAATACAGGACTGTGAACGTTGGGAATGTGGGATTGGGAATGTCGGGTTGGGAATGCTGGACTGTGAACGTTGGGAATGTCGGGATTGGGAATGTCGGGTTGGGACTGCAGGACTGTGAACGTTGGGAATGTCGGGATTGGGAATATCGGGTTGGGACTGCAGGACTGTGAACGTTGGGAATGTCGGGATTGGGAATGTCGGGTCGGGACTGCAGGACTGTGAATGTTGGGAATGTCGGGTCGGGAATGCAGGACTGTGAATGTTGGGAATGTCAGGATTGGGAATGTCGGGTTGGGACTGCAGGACTGTGAACGTTGGGAATGTCGGGATTGGGAATGTCGGGTTGGGACTGCAGGACTGTGAATGTTGGGAATGTCGGGATTGGGAATGTCGGGTTGGGAATGCAGGACTGTGAATGTTGGGAACGTGGGATTGGGAATGTCGGGTTGGGAATGCAGGACTGTGAACGTTGGGAATGTCGGGTTGGGACTGCAGGACTGTGAACGTTGGGAATGTCGGGTTGGGAATGTCGGGTTGGGACTGCAGGACTGTGAACGTTGGGAATGTCGGGTTGGGAATGTCGGGTTGGGACTGCAGGACTGTGAACGTTGGGAATGTCGGGATTGGGAATGTCGGGTTGGGAATGTCGGGTTGGGAATGTCGGGTTGGGACTGCAGGACTGTGAACGTTGGGAATGTCGGGTTGGGAATGTCGGGTTGGGAATGTCGGGTTGGGAATGCAGGACTGTGAACGTTGGGACTGTCGGGTTGGGAATGTCGGGTTGGGAATGCTGGAGTGGGACGGACCCGGTGCCGGTTGCTTCCAGAGTTGAGCTGCTCCAAGAACGCGCAGGAGGAGCTGGAGGAGCTGCTCCTCGAGGCCAGCCAGGACACGGGGCAGGAGCTGCCCTGAGCACCCGTGAGTGCATCCCATGGGATGGGGACGGCCCGGGGATGGGGCTCCCCTCGGCCCCACGGCTGCGCTCCTCTCTCGTGCAGGTCCGTGGGACGGAGGCTCCGGGATGGTTTTCTCCTCTTCCCCATGGAGAATCCAAGGCTGGGCTCCAGGACAAAGGGGTTCTTCCAAACCAAACTCCTGTTTCCCCAGCCCATTCCCAGCCCTCGGCCTCTTCCCCGCGTTCCCGAGCGGAAAGGCAGGACGGCAAAGAGGGAAAAGCCCCCGGATGGGTTCATCCCCATGGACACTACAAGGCACCTTCGCCTCCCTTTTCCCCTCTTTCTCTATGGAGGAGATTCCCACACTACAGGGACCGAGGTGGCGGAATTCCCGCAGGATTCCCGGGCCAGGCCGTGGCATTCCCAGCCACTCTGCTTATTTATTTGGAATTCCTTCTTTTCCTTTAGTTTTCGGGCTCTATTTATCATCAGCTGCACCGTTCCTGCCTGGGGATGCTCTTAGAATCCAGCAACTCCTTCCATCTCAATTCCTGCCTTTGGGAATACCGGGAAAACAACCCCTACACCCCCCCACCAAGCAGCATTGGTGGAGGTCCCCCCCCCCCATCCCCCTCGCAGCCAAAGTGGGGAACCCCTCTTTTTGAGTGGGAATCAGGATCCAAAGCGGGGCTGCTTCCAGGTTGGGATTCCCAGCGTTGGGAATGCCGTTCCCAAGGGCCGGGCTGGATTTCTCAGGGAGGGGGACGAGGACTCGGCGCTTTGTCTTTCTTAAGTGCAATAAATCTATCAGGGAGCCGGGGGGTGGCTTTTTGGGGGGGGGGGGGGGATTGGTGGCAATGGGGGGGCTCTATGGGGGGGGGGGGGCATTCGGTGGCATCTCTTTGTTAACACTGGTTTCTATTAAAGGAGCTGCATTCGGCTGTGGGGGCCCCCGGGCTATGGGGGGGGGGGAAGGATGGGAATGGGACCCCCCCATAACACAGCCCACCTGCACCCCACTATTGGTGCCCCCCCAGTATTGGTACCCTCACTATTGACCCCCCCCCCATTATTGGTACCCCCCCCTGCGGCCATTATTGGCCCCCACTATTGACCCCCCCCCCATTATTGGTACCCCCCCGCGGCCATTATTGACCCCCCCATTATTGGCAGCCTCCATTATTGCCCCCCTGCACCCCGTTATTGGTACCCCGCATTAGTGGTACCCCCCAATTGTTGCCCACTCAATTATTGCCCCCCCCCCGTATTGGTACCCTCCATTATTGATTCCCCCCCCGCACCCCCTTATTGGTACCCCCATTATTGGTACCCCCTATTATTGGTCCCCCCCCCACCCCCGTATTGGTACCCCCCATTATTGGTGTCCCCCTGCACCCCATTATTGGTACCCCCCATTATTGGTGTCCCCCTGCACCCCATTATTGGTACCCCCCATTATTGGTCCCCCCCCTGCACCCCATTATTGGTACCCCCCATTATTGCCCACTCAGTTATTGCCCCCCTGCACCCCAGTATTGGTACCCCCATTATTGGTACCCCCACTGCAGTCATTATTGGCCCCCATTATCCCCTCTCCATTATTGGCAGCCCCCATTATTGGTCCCCCCCATTATTGGTACCCCCCCCTGCACCCATTATGGTACCCCCATTATTGGTATGCCCCCCGCACCCCATTATTGATACCCCTCCCCACCCCTCATTATTGGTACCCCCATTATTTGTACCCCCATATTGCCCACTCAGTTATTGCCCCCCCCAAACCCCGGTATTGGTACCCCCATTATTGCTACCCACCTCTGCACCCATTCTTGGTGGCCCCCATTATTGGCCGCCCTCATTATTGGTACCCCCATTATTGCCCCTCTGCACCCCATTATTGATACCCTCCCCTGCACCCCATTATTGGCACCCCCCTGCACCCATTATTGATACCCTCCCCTGCACCCCATTATTGGCACCCATTATTGACCCCCCCTCATTAGTGGCCCCCCTGCAGCTTGTTATGGGTACCCCTGTTATTGCCCCCCCCCCCCCTTATTGGTACCTGCATTATTGGTGTGCACCCTATTACTGGCACTCCCATTGTTGCACACACCCCCCATTATTGGTACCCCCATTATTGGTACCCCCATTATTGATACCCCCATTATTGGTACCCCCCCATTATTGGTACCTGCATTATTGGTGTGCACCCTATTACTGGCACTCCCATTGTTGGTACACACCCCCCATTATTGATACCCCCATTATTGGTACCCCCATTATTGATACCCCCCCATTATTGGTACCCCCCCATTATTGGTACCCCTATTATTGATACCCCCCCATTATTGGTACCCCCATTGTTGATACCCCCCCAATTATTGATACCCCCCCCATTATCGGTACCCCTGTCATTATTGGTACCCCCATTATTGATATCCCCCCATTATTGATACCCACCCCATTATTGGTACCCCCATTATTGATACCCCCCCATTATTGGTACCCCCATTATTGATAACCCCCCATTATTGGTACCCCCCCATTATTGGTACCTGCATTATTGGTGTGCACCCTATTACTGGCACTCCCATTGTTGGTACACACCCCCCATTATTGATACCCCCATTATTGGTACCCCCATTATTGATACCCCCCCATTATTGGTACCCCCCCATTATTGGTACCCCTATTATTGATACCCCCCCCATTATTGGTACCCCCATTGTTGATACCCCCCCAATTATTGATACCCCCCCATTATCGGTACCCTGTCATTATTGGTACCCCCATTATTGATATCCCCCCATTATTGATACCCACCCCATTATTGGTACCCCCATTATTGATACCCCCCCATTATTGGTACCCCCATTATTGATAACCCCCCATTATTGGTACCCCCCATTATTGGTACCTGCATTATTGGTGTGCACCCTATTACTGGCACTCCCATTGTTGGTACACACCCCCCATTATTGGTACCCCCATTATTGGTACCCCCATTATTGATACCCCCATTATTGGTACCCCCCCATTATTGGTACCTGCATTATTGGTGTGCACCCTATTACTGGCACTCCCATTGTTGGTACACACCCCCCATTATTGATACCCCCATTATTGGTACCCCCATTATTGATACCCCCCCATTATTGGTACCCCCCCATTATTGGTACCCCTATTATTGATACCCCCCCATTATTGGTACCCCCATTGTTGATACCCCCCCAATTATTGATACCCCCCCATTATCGGTACCCCCGTCATTATTGGTACCCCCATTATTGGTACCCCCATTATTGATATCCCCCCATTATTGATACCCACCCCATTATTGGTACCCCCATTATTGATACCCCCCCATTATTGGTACCCCCATTATTGGTACCCCCCCATTATTGGTACCTGCATTATTGGTGTGCACCCTATTACTGGCACTCCCATTGTTGGTACCACCCCCCATTATTGGTACCCCCATTATTGATACCCCCCCATTATTGGTACCCGCATTATTGATACCCCCCCATTATTGGTACCCCCATTATTGATACCCCCCCATTATTGGTACCCCCATTATTGATACCCCCCCATTATTGGTACCCCCCCATTATTGGTACCCCCATTATTGATACCCCCCATTATTGGTACCTGCATTATTGGTACCCCCATTATTGATACCGCCCCATTATTGGTACCCCCATTATTGATAACCCCCCATTATCGGTACCCCCCTCATTATTGGTACCCCCATTATTGATACCTCCCCATTATTGGTACCCCCCCATTATTGGTACCCCCATTATTGATACCCCCCATTATTGGTACCCCTATTATTGATACCCCCCCCCCGAACCAGGCATCATCCAAAGCACAGAGCAGGAGGTTGAGCTGGTTTATTATGGGCTGACCCCCCCCTTACATTGTCACCCCCCCCATATCCCTCCCCTTAAGGGACCCTCTCCCCATGGCGGGGTTCCCTTGTGTCTCCCCCAGTTCCACCCCATGGTGGCCTCCTCGTAGGGTTGGGACAGGAGCCGTCCCCCTCCCTGCCCCCAGAGCATCCTCCGTGGGTACCGATGGGGTCCTTGGATCCCGGCATCCCTCGGGATGCGGGCACTGGACGCCGTGGCTCTCCCGCGGCGCCGCCTGGAGCCGGTCGAGCCCCCGCAGGAGCCCCATCTTGTGCCGGATGGAGTGGTCCAGGTTGACGGTGACGGCGAGCAGGACGCGCGCCTCGCGGGCCGTGAAGGGGAAATCGCGCTGCAGGAAGCTCTGGAAGAGCTCGGGGTCCCCGTCCAGGCTGAGCGCGTTGTGCAGCGCCTGCCGCAGCGCTCCCAACTCGCCCGCGTGCTCCTCGAAGATGCTCCAGAGGGAGCGGGCGCCGAGCCCCGGCTCCGCGGGGCCTTGCCAGGCGTCCTCGGCGCACTGCAGCGCCCAACTCAACCGGCACGGCCACCCGTCGGCCAACACCACCCAGGCGGCCGCCGCTCGCGGGGCCACGGCGCCGGCGCCGCGGTGCAGGAGCAGGCGCAGGGTGATGGGGATGGTGTTGACGACGCGGCGCACGTGGGTGCCGCAGCTGGGGAGGTAGCGAGCCAAGGGGTCGGCGCCGTCGCGGAGGCAGTGGAACGCTTCGTGGATGCAGCGCACGGCGTCGGCGTCGGCGGTGGCGTCGCCGCGGTCCGCGGCCGTGCCGTGGCCCTTGGCGCGGCGCCGCTCCACGTTGCGGGTGATGATGCGGTACAAGAGGTCCTCCCGCGTCTGGATGGCGGCGTCCAGGAAGTGGAGGCGGGAGCGGGCGCCCATCTCCGGATGGAGAAGGGCAACGAGACGGTGCGGTTGAGGTAGAGGTACCCGTTGTCGGCCAGCCCCTTCATGCAGCCCGTCTGCTCCAGGCAGGGCACGATGACGCTGGGGTCCACGGCCAGGATGAAGATGAAGGGCGCGTTGGCGTCCGACAGCAGCGTGTTGACGGCGTTGAGCACGCCGGCCACCTTCTCCGGGTAGCAGAGCTCCAGGCTGGTGATCTCCAGCACCACGCGGAGCCGGCGCCGCTCGAAGACCTCCATGAAGGCCAAGAAGTCGACGAGCGCCTGCACCTCGGCGCGCACCTTGCTCATGAAGCCCAGCTGCGAGGAGAAGCGCTCGCTGTTGGTCAAGCGCTCGATCTTCTGCTTCTCGCTCACCAGCAGGTTCTTGACGATGGAGACGGCGCCCAGCACCAACCCGGAGCCCGACAGCGACGCGATGCCGCTGCCCAGCACCTTCAGCACCGGGCTCTCCTTGACGCCCGGCACCAGCAGCGCCACCAGCAGCACGGCCACGCCGGCGCCCAGCGCCGCCAGCATGCCCACAGCTTGAGGCACGTGCCCCGCTTGAGCACCCATTCCCGCTGGCTGAAGCCCGAGGCGAAGCGGGGCCGCGAGCCCAGCACGTGGAAGACGCTGAGGGGCAGGGCCCCGAAGTGGCTGCGGATGCTGTGGCACAGCGCGGTCACCAGCCCGGCCCAGAGGCGGTCGCAGCCGGCGAATTGCCAGGCGCTGAAGCGGATGAAGATGAAGGCGAGGGCGCGGCGCCGCAGGTGGCCCTCGGTGATGACGGCGCGGTAGAAGCTCAGGTACCAAAGGGCCTGGAGAAGCCCCAGCCCTTGGGGCTGCGAGGGCGCTGCCGGCCCCGGAGCTCCTCGGAGGCTTCCAGCTCGGCCATCTCCTGGCGCATGAAACCTGCGGGGACGGGGAGGGATGGGATGGGATGGAAGGGGATGGAAGGGGAGAGGGGAGAGGAGAGGAGAGGAGAGGAGAGGAGAGGAGAGG